CAGTGTATAGAGTTTAGATCTTTTGGTTTAGGGCTTAGGGTTTAGAGTTTGGGGCTTATATTGTTTAGGGTTCAGAGTTTAGAGTTTATGCACCAGGGTTTTGGAGTTTGGAGTATAGTATTTCCGGCTTAGAGGTTAAGATGTGTCGGTGGTTCAGGATGTGTAACTCTGCGCCACTCCTGCACGCAGTTGATATTTCCTTACCCTTGCTGATTCCTGGAGAGGCGTTGACGTAGTCAGTCGTACCACTGATTGGTTTCCACACCCACTGCCCCGACAATACAAAGATTCGTGTATGCTTTACCCTAAACTGTAAGACACCGAATTTGCAGCCATCAATCCGAAGACACCCAAGCTCGACGCTTGCAACCCGCAGCCACCCAAACAACCACCCTGAATCCTAGCCTCCAAAGCCGAAGCCGTGCGCCCGAAACCCTCAAACCCCGAAACCTTCAATGCGCTCGCCAATAAACCCTGAAGCCTGAACCCTAAAGCCTAAACCCTGAATCCTACTCCTAAACCCTGAACCCTAAAACCTGAACTCTAACCCCTGAACCCTGAACCTTAAAGCCTAAACCCTAAACCCTGAACCCTAAAGCCTAAACCCTAAACTCTGAACCAAAAAATAACTCTGAACCCTAGAGCCCAAACCCTGAACCCTAAACTCTAAACTCTAAAGCCAACACCCTAAGCCCCCCCGTCGCCCCCCAAAAAAGCCCTAAGCCCAAGCTCCGCAAGAGAACTTCGCCGGTCTTCGCCTTCTCCGTCCTCGACGCCGACTCACCCAAACGACTCCTCGCAATAGTGGCCTCAGCATCTACATGAGAGTTTCCGAAAATCAGGGGGTACCTTAAAAGGGATCTATAAGGGTTCCTTAAAGGGATCTCTAAGGGTTCTATAAAGGGTTTAGGGTTTAGAGTTTCCGAAAATTAGGTCCTTATAATAGGGATCCTACTATTCAGGCTGCTATATTAGGGTCCCCTTTTCGGAAACTCGCCTTTGGGTGGTGGTCTAAATTAGGGTCCCCTTTTTTGGGCACCCTAATAGTAGGTGCCGTATTATATTAGGGACCCAACAAGGGACCATAATTGTGACAACCGCTTATAAAATTTAGGGTCCCTTTTTGGGTCCCCAATATAGTATGGCACCCGTTACTTAACGGGACCCTAATTTAGAGAACCACCCATATCACATTATAGTACCTTATGATGATACATGACACTATGCTTAACTAAAATTTGTTACAATATTATAACACTAGGCCATATCTTTTATGCAATTTTAAATTACGAATGAAGGGTTTGGGGTGTCGAGGTTCCACTGATGTTAGTATCTCGACATGCATTTTGGTCGGCCAGTCCTAGGTCGCGCCTCGTCTTAATGTTTGGCTCACACCCCCCAACTTCCCGGCTTCAAAGTATATTCTTTGGAGGATCCAAAGAACCAAACCCCAAACCCTAAACCTTACTTAAAAAAGGCCCTAAACCCCTCAACTATTCCAAACCTGATAACCCCAAGCATGATGCCAGAGGTACGCAGAGACTCAACCCTGAGCTTGGCCCTAACCCTGAAACAAAAGCCCTAAACCCGAGACTCGAAGGGCTGAGCCCTAAAGCCAAAGCCTTAAACCCCAGACCCTCGACCCTAAGCCATAAGCCTCCACCCTAGAAGCTCGAATTCCTGTAGAACCCGAAGCCGCTGTAGAACTTTTACATCCCCAAAGGAACCCTTAACTATAGTCTCCTGAGGAATTACTTTCGATTTTTGTTCATATAACATGCAAGAGACCAGTAAACATACCATTTTTTCTATGGTTCTAAGGGGGGTATAGTGAAAGGAGGTAGGTGGGTCGTTTGGTCACTGCTCCAAACCCGGGGCGGCCGAATCTCGGCTGCCTCACCCGAGCATTCCAGCCAGGGGGGCAGCTCCTGCCGACGAGAGCTTAGGGGTGAAGGCGTTGAGGTTTAGCAATACATACGTTTTAGGGTTTAGAGTTTAGAGTTCAGGTTTTAGGCTTTAGGGTTTAGGGTTCAGGGTTTAGGCTTTAGGGTTCAGGTTAGAGGCAAGAAAGTTGAAACATCATTAGCCTCATGCCCTCAGAGTAAAGGATAGGGAATCCCAGGCATGAATCATCCTAAATCTATGTTCCAACTTTCTGGGGTTCACCATAGGGGGTTTAGGGTTTAGGGTTTCAAGGCTGGGGTTCAGGGCTCAGGGTTTAGGGTTTAGGTTTGGGTCGTTGCTGTGATTCACAAGGCTTCATAAGCTTCATACGGCGCTATAGATGCTGTCTGCTTAAAGTGTAGTTAAACAGTTCGCTGATTTCGGCACACCCGCCACTTGAGGTCTTATGCTGCACGCCCTACCCCCGCCACATTCCACCCGAGGATTGCACTCGTGCACTCCCGATAGCCGCAGCTTTGTGGTTGGTGGAGGGTGTTAGGCTTGGGATTCGGGTTCAGGACTCGAGGCTTATGGCTTGGGGCATAGACTTGAAGGTGTAGGGTTGGAATTGTTTTCGGGGGGGACATACAGCTCAGGATACACAAGTGGACAGCGTTCTTTGTTCCCAAAGCCCTAAACCCTAAACAGGCTTGATGTGGGATCGCGATAGTGGATTCAGGGGCCAGGGGTTATCAGTTGGAAAGCTTATCCCGTTTAGGGTTTAGGGTATGGTCACTTCAGGTATCTATATACGACCCCGGTTGTAGGCCCGACACCAATGTAGCGGCGTGAATACTCAAAAGTACCATTTCCTTGCCGTCTCATACAATTGTTCAAATTTAGCATGGCCCAAAGCCTTATTCTAATTGTAAAGGCCACTATAATGAACAGTTAAAACCCTTACTAGGTTCATCAAAGCTCCTATCAGACTGCTACTCTAAAGCATACTAAAAAAATCGTCTCTAATCTTCTGAGCCATTAAACCCTAAACCCTAAACCCCTAAACCCTAAACCCTGAGCCCCCTGACATTCGAATGGGGCTTCCCCTGGGCAACTTGCGACCAGTGCAGCGATCAGCCTTTGACATGCGCCGAGCGAGAAAGCGTGGTGAAGACGTAGTATAATTCAGGGTTTAGGGTTTAGGATGCCTTTATAAAGCTGGTTTTCATCCGTTTATGTAGAAGGAAAAGAAGCATGAATGGGTGCTCATAGGCTTTTGCACGGCTTTAAAGGGCTGTTTCATCTAGCGACCTTAAGAATTGGAATGTGGTTTTGGGGTCTACCATCGTATATACGTATACGCAAACACACACAGACACATCTGTATATGATATATGCATGTCTTTGTATACATATATATATATATATATATGTGTATATATAAATCACATATATATATATACACACATATAAATATACTCCAAGAGAATGCCATGATCGGTTATTAATGCTCCTATAGTGGGGTTTGGGCTTTGGGCTATTATTGAAAGATTTGGTTTTCGGTTGGGGGGTTTAGGCTTCGGGGATGTTTAGGGTTTGGGGGAGTGGGTTGAGGTGTTGGCTCGATGACTTTGGCTTTTTCCGTTCTAAGGCACGGCATGTCGAAATGTAGGGTCTCATAGTTCGAAGTCCTGGCTGCAGACTTCAAGAATCTCGGGTTAGTGTCGGATAGCATAGTGTCGTACAGCATAGTCTAGTATGGTATAGTATAGTATGTGAGTGTGACAGTGACTCAGTCCGACAGTTCAGGGTGAAGGGGGATTGGGCTCTGACCTCACGTCGAGCTCAGAGTTTTTGGCAACAGGCCCGGTTCTCGCGCACCCCAACATCCTCAGGAAGTACAGCTCATTCCCTCCCCCTGGGTGAAGAAATATGCAGTGCCAACACACCACGCAAAGGATCACAATCAGGCGACAGAGTGGGATCAATAAGAAAACTGCTTGGAAGCCTAGACAAGCAAACACGTGGCAGCAACCTTAGAGAAAAGTGTTGTGAGGAAGTACAATCGGTATAGGTTTGTGTCATGGCATCTAATCCAGTGTCCAGGGATGCAGCAAACCCTAAACCTTGAACCCTAAACCGCTAAACCCTAAACCCTAAACCCTAACCGCTAAACCCCTAAACCCAAAACCCTAAACCCTAAACCCTAAACCCCTGAACCCCTAAACCCTAAACCCCTAAACCCCTAAACCCCTAAACCTAAACCGCAGCCCCAAGCTCCCACAGGCGTGCAGCAGCCGAACGCTTCAGAAGCCAACGCACGAACTCTGGGGCCCCTCCGGTTGATGATATAAATCCTGCATTACCTTAAGGGACCTAAACTACGGGAATTATTGTCTATTCCTTATTATTGGTGATGCAGGATTTGTATCATCAACCGTCTCTGCATGCACCTCAAAACCCCATATGCTGAATGCTAGGCCTGCTAGGCTCTACACACAACATGTGTGTACATATAAAACGTCTGTCCTAAACCCAAAACACTAAAGCCCCAACTCTAAAGCATGAATCCTAAATCCTAAACCCAATCATATATTCAATATATATATATATATATCTACACACACAAAATACACACAAGCCGCTGAACTTCAATCGCTGACCCTGGATGCTTTCGCCGCTGGCTCTATAGTTTAGGCCGGCGCGCGCCTCCTTCATGATACATGCCAAGAACAAGGGCGCATCCTCGGTAACACCGAAATTCAGCACCATGAGGAGAGCACCGAGTGCAATGACAACATCAGCGGCTGTGCTTTTCCAGCTTAAAGGTCCCGAGGCCAGGGCCTTTAACTCCCAGCGGCAAGCCCAACCCCGGGGACGTTGTCATATGAAGCCGGCAAGTCATGGAAGTAGTGAAGACAGGGCACTGCCTCAGAGACACATACCTTAGTCACTAGTCTTATGATAAGGTAGAGACTAGCTGCCATGAAGCATGCTGCTAGTACTTTGACGAATTTGCAGCTTTAGGCCTTGGTAATACCAGGGGAGCCTTTTTCAGAGTGCGGGCAGACGGATCGCGCTTCTGACGCTCGAGCTACACTGCTGTCGGCGCTGACATGGAGGTATCCGCGGCGCTATTCGCTGCTTGGGGCTTATCGAGTTGGTAGCTGGGGGATTAATTAGGGTCTAGGCTTGAGAGTTTAGGGTGTAAGGTTTAGGACATTTGTGTTCAACGTGAGAGAGTCTGCGGTGATTCTTGCGGTACACCAGCACCACTGGGTTTGGGGGTTTAGGGTTAAGTTAGGAATGCATATAGGGGTACTGCTGATGGACGCGATCCTTCTTTGCGTCCGCAACCAGGAATATAGCAGACTTGCCGTCGTGCCGGTAGGGCTTTTGTTGATCAGCTGTAGCAGATGGGTAGCGGAAGCCGAGGCGCAGCCATAAGACCAAGAATCAGAAGATCTTAGCACTGCAACCCCGAACTATCCGAAATACCTTAAAGCCCAGTTTCCTGACAGTCTAATTGCCCGCAAGCCCCACCTGCCTTGAACCGACGACCCGAATTTGTCCTAAAGCCAGAGCCGTAAACCTTACACCCTAAATCCTGAACCTTTGACCCTCCACCTCAAATCCTTAACCCTAAACCTTAAACCCTCAAGCCTTCGCCCTAAACCCTAAACTCTAAGCCTCTAACCTTAAATCCTAAACCCTCGAAGATAGGGGACCCTAATATAGTACCCGTACATAGTAGGATCCTTATTATAAGGACCCCAAAACAAGGGACCCCCCAGCCCTTTTGGGGTGGCCGTGCCAGGTCGACAAGTACGGCAACGCGATCTGCGTCGTCTTAACTCTGCTCCTGGTCTTGGCAGGCGGTTAAGGGGGGGGGGTGAAACCAGGTTTTTTTATCGTTTATAGATTCTTTTATACTTTTTTTGAAAATTGTTTAGGGTTTGGGGTTCAGGGTGGGATCGAGTAGGGTGCTATACGGGTTCCTTTTGAGGCTTGTTTTAGGGGATCTACGGGGATACTATCCCTTTAGGGCTTCTTTTCAGGAGCTGCAGGGGCATTGTAAGGGTTCGAAAGAGGTAGCAATTACGGTAGTTCGGGTATTAGGGTTTAGGATGGTTTAGGGTGTAAGGTAGTTAGAGCTTAAGGTTTCCCGGTTTTCAGACAGTAGAGTTTGGGGTTTAATGGGATCCCAGTGTGGATCCATGGGGGTGCTAAGTGGTAAGAAGCAGGAGCTTTGATGCAGGGGTTCTGAGGTTCAAAAAGCACTCTATGCTTGTGAGGCGGCTCCAAGCTACTTCTATTTTTTCTCGAAATCATTTATTTTCCGTTAAAATTCCGAATCACGCCATTTCGAAAAAACAAATGGAAAGCGAAAAAAAAGGGACCAAAAAGGCACCAAAAAAGCGACAAAAATGGGACACAGCCCCAAAAAGCGAAGAAAAAGCGAAAAAAAAAGGGACCAACAAGGTACTAAAAAAAGCGACCAAAATGGGACACAGCTTCAAAAGAGCGAAAAACAAGCAAAAGAAAGGACCAAAAAGGTATCCAAAAAGCGACCAAAATGCATTTATTTCCTTTTTCGGAGCCCTGGCTCCAGGCCACACTGGAAAGCAAAAGTTGCATTTTCCCTGGCAAAAAGACAGAACCAAAAAGGAAAAAAAAGGAACGAAAAAGCGATGAAAAAGTGACGAAAAAGGGACGAAAAAGGGACTAAAAAGGGACGAAAAAGGGACGAAAAAGGACCAAAAAGGGACCAAAAAGGAACCAAAAGGAACGGAAAAAGGAACCGAAAAGGACACAAGCTTTTTGGTAGTTTTTTTGTGTGCTTTTTCTGTCGCTTTCCTGTTGCATTTCTGTCGCTTTTTTTCTGTCGCTTTTTTCTGTCGGTGTTTCTGTCGCTTTTCTGTCGCTTTTTCTGTCGCTTTTTCTGTCGCTTTTCGGTCGCTTTTCTGTCGTTTTTTTTTTCGGCTTTTTCTGCTCCATCGCTTTTTCGGTCGGATTGGTTTTCGCTTTTTTATCGGAATTAATTAAATGATTTCCAAGGAAATATAGAAGTAGCTTGCAAGTGGCGTCACAACTCTATGCACCCATGGGCCCTAAACCTTAAATCCTAAACCAAAACCCTAAAACCTAAACCCTATATAAACCCTTTCCCAGCCCAAACCCTAAACAAGAAGCACCCACATGTGGGCAGATTCGACTTCGGGGCTTGCGGAACACCGGAGTTTTCTTGGGTTGTGAGGCTCGCAGCTCAGAGTCGTTACTGCCTAGCGAGCCCAGTACCCCTTCATAAAGGAATATACTTTAAATCACAATATGGGCATTTCCGAAAATCAAGGGTACCTAATTTTGGGGTCCTTATAATAAGGATCCTACTAATTAGGGTACTGTATAAGGTTCCCCCATTTTCGGAAACTCCCGTTTTAAGTCCCTGCAGTTTAAGGTAAATACACTCCTTAATTTAGGGATATGGGGCTCTCTCGGTAAAGGTACTGCAGAGCCACCGTCGAGGGTTTAGGGCTTATAGGGTTCTGACTAGGAAAGAAATGCCCTTCCTTATTCTGGCAACATCATAACACACCCCAGAACCCTAACCCCAAGGGTCCAAAGGACCCAATAGTTAGGTACTCGGTTTCAGGATAGTAGTTATGTAGGTTAGCATTTTGGGGAGTATATGATTATTAAGTACTTGGACCCTTGGGGTAATTAGTACTACTGTGCCTTGGGGCTCCTTGCCAGCGCGCGTTCTACAATTGCGGCCGTGACAGTACGCTGTGGCCTCGGCTCCCTGGGACGGCTGGGCACGAAAGGCTTCCAGTGAAACAAACACTCAATCTTAAACCCTAAACCCTAAACCGCTACACTCTAAATCGTGCTAGTCTGACAGGATCCTGGATTAATCCGCGTCGCAACGGCGGGCGATACATTCTTCCGCATTTCATAGACCCAGAGCCTCCAAACCCCCCGAATTAAGGAACATACCTTAAATCATATTAGGGATCCTACTATACTTTAAGCTATATATTCCTTAATTAAAGGGTTGTGGAGGCTCTAGGGACCACGCCAGATCGAGGGTTCGTGGTGGAAGCAAAATGAGGGGGTTTCCGAAAATTAGGGGGCACCTTAAAAGGGATCTATAAGGGTTCCTTAAAGGGATCTTTAAGGGTTCTATAAAGGGTTTAGGGTTTAGAGTTTCCGAAAATTGGGGGGCACCTTATTTGGGGTCCCTACAATAAGGATCCTATTATTTAGGCTACTATATTAGGGTCCCTTATTTTCGGAGACTCCCAAATCCGGCAGAAGACAGGGGCCGCAGTGAGGCGCAAGTGGCGCACCTGCAGGAGAGCCGCAAGCACACCCACAGCCTCCAAAACCCCTTAATTAAGGAATATACCTTAAATTATATTAGGATCCCTTATATGATTTAAGGTATATTCCTTAATTAAGGGGTTTTGGAGGCTCTGGGCAAGCTCCACCCAAACCCAGAACCCCTTAACCAACAAACGCCAGGACCCCCGAACGAGCCTGTCCACCGATGGCCAGGGAAAAGGAGTGCCGAAGAGGATGCAAGAATCTTCCCTGTGCGCATCTAACCAGTTCGTCTTCAGGATCTCAGACGCCGAACCCACCAAAGCTATTGCAACTCTGCCTAGGGTCTGTGCCGATCTGCTTGAGAAACAACCCCCAGACCCGTTACCCGCACCCTAAACCCCAGAACCCCAAGCCGCAAATCCTAACCCCCAAACCATACTGCTGATGGACAAAATCCTGCATTACCAAAATAAGGAATATACCATAGGCTCCCATAGTTTAGAGTCCTTAGGGTCATGCAGGATTTATATCATCAACCCCTAAACCCTAAACCCTAAATAGATCCCTTAAAGGAGCCCTTTAAAGGTACCCTTATAGATCCCTTTAAAGGATTTTGTCCATCAATCCATAACTCCAAAAGATCCTCCATCTTAAGCCATCCTAAAGTCTGAACCTATATGGGTAGTTCTCAAAAATTAGGGACCCTTTTTGGGTACCCTAAATATTAGGTGCCGTATGATATTAAGGACCCAAAAAGGGGCCATGATTTTGACAACCACCCATATATCAAAGGGGAAAAGGAGGGACCCTTAATGGGGACCCCTACCCTATAAAGGGCTATATAATGGGTATATAATAGCTATATCAAGGGTATATACCTAGGGGTCCTTATTAAGGGTCCCTCCTTTTACCCTTGGAATATAGTGGTGACGGCCTTGAGCCCCTACCTCAATGCCCCAGAGCGCCGAGCCGTAGGCGAGACACAAGCCCCGAAATTCCAGATTTCCAGCAGGAGAGCAGTGCAAGTTTAGGGTTTTAGGGTTTAGGGGCTTGAGGGTTTGTGGTGTAGCCTACGGTTTAGGGTGACCCCGATACTTTGAAACAGGACCGAGGCCTCACGCCCTAAACCGGAAGCCCTCTCAAACCTGCGGCAGTAACTCAGTAGGAAAAGGCACCTTAGGCTACTATAGTGGCCTGCATAAATACCAATGCGATTTTGGGGGTTCCTGATTATAGTTATAGTATGCTGGGCCCCAAAACCCTATTCTAATCATTAAGGCACCTTAGACGGGAAAAATCCGAGTTGTCCCTGTTTAGGATGCTTCTGGCAGCACATGGAGAAGCAAGGACTCGGTGTGTAGTTTGCATGGTTCAGGTCCAATGTAGGGGCCTTCATAATTACATAATTACCTGTACTATTTTGGAGGTTCCGTATCATAATTATAGTACAGTGGACCCTGTTTTAGTGATTTCCCTATTGTGCGTTTTCACTCTTGTTCAGCTTTTGCAGGGCTGTCTTGAAGTTAGGCCGCGGATAAAAGGCGGTGTTGTGGGCGTACAGTTAGGTTTTGCAGGATTTGGCACATAAGAGCTTCTTGTAAGAGTTCTAAAAGTTCTACGGTCAAGCTTCTCTTACTTGTATCACAGGGGCACAAGTTTTTGTTCTTTAGGGCGCAGGTTGTTGAGTTGTGAAGCCCTGACCCGGTCCAACGTCCGGGACGCTTGACCTGCGACTTCCACAAGACTTCAAATTCCTGTACTGCGGTTGATGATATAAATAAACAAATAAATAAATACATATATATACATATATATATATATAAATCCTGCATTACCCGTAACAAGGAATTTACCATAATTCCCATAGTCTAGGGTCCTTAAGGTAATGCAGGATTTATATCATCAACCGTGGGACTCCCCGTCTGGCCCAAACCCCAAGAGCCAGGGCCTCCAATGCCAATATCCCTTAATTCAGGGATCTACGGTATATCATATACCTTAGAATCCTTAAATTAAGGAATATACCTCAGTATCCCTTAATTAGGAATATACCCTAAACCACAATAGAAATCCTAGTTGAGGGCGATTGGAGTCGCTGGGACCTGGAACCCTGCCGTAAACCCCGAACCCCCAAACCCTCTTCAACACCTAAAAGCTACACCCGAACTCCGAAAAACTCGAATAGAGAACCCCTGAGCCCTAACCCTAAACCCAGAGCCTCCAAAACCCCTTAATTAAGCAATATACGTTAAAAATCATATTAGGGATCCTATCATAATTTCAGGTATATTCCTTAATTAAGGGGTTTTGGAGGCTCTGGGAACCCCGAATCGAAAGCATCCGAGAAAGGCCCCGCTGCTGACAGCCTTAGCGGCTCAAGGGTTCATATGTGGAGCTATGGGGCTTAGTAAGTAAGGTTCCTTAAAGGGTTCCTTAAAGGGATCTATAGGGTTTCGATAAAGGAGCTCTATAAGGAGGATCATGGGACTTAGTAAGTAAGGTTATAAGTACCATAATTGGGGTTATAAGTATAGTTACCCTAATAATAACCCTAGTTACTAAGTCCCATGATCCTTTAAGTGGGAATCTATGGGGGCTCTTCCTTGCGGGTCTCAGGGTTAAGGGAGTTTCGCGTTGAGGTCTAACGGGTTTAGGGTTCAGGTTTAGTGTGTGTTTTATCCCCGGAGCCACACCGATTATGAGGGAGGGTCGAGCTCCGCCGTTTGGTTGTTTTGAGGTTCGGTTTTGGGTGAAATCGTGAGACCTGGATCCAGCGGTTTCTTGCGAGGAGTTGATAGTATATCCCTGTAGACACCAAAAATTAAAAACTTAATCCTAAACCGGAAATCCTATAATCCGTAGACTTGAAAGAACCCCTTTGCTCCATCGCCCAAGCACGAGCGTCATGGGCTGCGCGGCGGCGGTGACTTTGCCGGCGCCAGCGCCGGTGAAGGCACCGAAGATAGTTTTCCTAGAGTAATTATGTCAGGGTTAGACTAACCTTTAGCAAATACTAGTACTTTCTGGTAGCTCTATATAGGTAGAGTAAAGCATATATTATAAAACCAGTCGCCCCTGCACTAGGATTCCCAGTCTAACCTCTAGAACCCCTCATCTCTAAACCCCAAACCCGAGAGTGTAGTGGCATACTACGGGTGTAGTGCATACTCCGGGTGTAGTGCTAAACCCTAAGCCCTACTGCGCCAGGACGAAAGTTCGTCGCATCCGGTAGGTCTGCTAACACATACTTGCAAACCCCTTTCCCCCGTAGACTCCTTCACGAAGTCGCGATGTCAGGCAAGGACGTCACGAATTCCTCCGTCGGAACACAAAAACCGTGTATGTTCATTTTGGCATGGAAATTCCTCCGCTAGCCAGGCCACGTAAAATGCACTTCTTCGTACTCCGAGTCCTCCGCCAAGCAAAGACATCTTAGTGTGACAAAACTTTCATCCTGCTGATGTTCACCCGCGACTAAAAACGAGTAGGCACCCGTCCAAAAAACCTCCTCTGTGTGACACATGCTGGCCTGGCCGAACTAGCGGTCTTGGATTTTATGCTGCTCGCCCGCGACTAAAAGCGAGTAGGCACCCGTCCAAGAAACCTCCTCCGTGTGACACATGCTGGCCTGGCCGAACTAGCGGTCTTGGAATTCATGCTGCTCACCCGCGACTAAAAGCGAGTAGGCACCCGTCCAGAAAACCTCCTCCGTGTGACACATGCTGGCCTGGCCGAACTAGTGGTCTTGGAATTCATGCTGTATGCTTGCTCGGGGGCCTGTGTTTCCTTCCCCTGTCCTTTTCCCAACCTCACGGCTTCAAACTATGATGCGTGTGGTCTGCCCAAAGACACCAGTATCCCTTAGTTAATGAATATACCTGAAAATGTAGTAGGATCCGCAAATGACTTAAGGTATACTCCTTAGTTAAGGGATATTGGAGGCTCTGGGTGGATGTGCGCTGTCTCAGGCGCTCGACACGGGGGAGCTGAGCACTTTGAGTGCTTGATGGGTTGCGTAGATGCTACATCGACCCAGAGATTCCAATATCCCTTAAGTAAGGAATATACCTTAACTTATGGCCCTAATATGATTTAAGATATATTCCTTAATTAAGGAATATACCTTAACTTATAGTAGCATCCCTAATATGATTTAAGATATATTCCTTAATCAAGGCATGTTGGAGTTTCTGAGGACGAGTCAAACAAAGGACCCAAAGAGAACCCACTCTGAGTTTACGTCTCGTTTTGAGTTGATTGAGCTCGAAAGTTTAACGTTAGGGGTCGGAATAACTACCAATGTTTTTCCTAGAATTCCGATTTTTTTAGGCATAATGGTATAAGGATACTCTAATCTACCCCAAAGCCCAACTCTAATTGTCAAAGCCCGCCTCTTGGACCTGGATCGTAGCCATACCCCAGACCCGCGGGAGGATCTAGAAAGTAGATCCCTTAATTTGGGGCCCTATACTACTAAGGGTACTTTATAGGAACCCCCATTAAGGGATCTACCCTAAACCCTAAACCCTAATCCCCCCAAAAACCCTATAAATCCCGTCAAGGGGCCCTTAAAGGAACCCCCAAACAAGCCCCCCATTTAGGGATCTACTTTTTAGATCCTCCCTAAACCCTAAACCCTAAACCCTTTAGGGATCTACTTTTTAGATCCTCCCGGGGGTCTGGGACGCTCACCTGAGGCTGAGGTCGAGAAGATGAAACCAACGCCGATCGGGTTGGAGGCCTTTTAGGGTTTAGGGTTTAGGGTTTAGGGTTTTGGGTTTTGGGTTTAGGGTTTAGGGTTTAGGGTTTAGGGTTTCAGCTTTCTTTCGTTTCCTTCATCCGCGTGCTCGTGTTTCTCAGACTCCGGCAATATATGTATGTACATACCTGCGACAAATCATGTATATATATATATATACACATTATATTTATGTATTATACAGATATAGACACATACATACATATAAAGGTTTCGCTCCGGTCCCTCTTTCTGCAATGCTTCCGGTTTAGTTCCCTCCGTCTGTGGAAGGGTTGGGGTGGCAAGAGGGAAGGGCCAGAACGCATTGCACACCACTTTGTCTCTGTGTGTGTTGTCTCCCTGTCTGTCTGTCTGCCTGCATGTATGTAGATATGTAAGTATGTGAGTGTGTAAGTATGTGAGCATGTAAGCATGTATGCATGTATGTCTGGAGGCATGCATGGATGTGTGGATGTATGGATATATGGATAGATGGATGCATGGATGCTGCATGGATGCATGGATGTATGGATGTACGGATGTATGGATGTATGGATGTATGAGTGAATGGATGGATGGACGGATGGACGGATGGACGTATGGATGTATGGATGGATGGATGGCTGTATGGATAGATGGATGGATGTAGTCGTTGCACGTGCAAACATGAGCAAGTAAACAAGTAAGATTGCGTAATCAAGTGAGATGCATGTATGCATGTATGCATGCATGTATGTAGGTACACACGTATGCATGTATGTAGGTTTTATGTATGTAAGCAATTTTGCACGCATGTGTGCATCCATGCATGTGTGCATGCATGGATGCATGTCGGTCTGCGTGTCTGTCTGTCTGGACGTGCTCATGTATGTATCTATGTATGTATGCATGTATGTAGGTACGTATGTATGTATGTATGCATGTATGTACATATCTCGGTATCTTTGAATGTCTGCATGTCTTTCTGCATGTATGTATGTATGTAGGAGATAGGTATGTGTGCGTGTGCGACGAACTACCCAGCGAGCGAGCAAGCTACCCAGCCAGCTCACTGAGTACAGAAATAAGGAAGTCGATAAATAGATAGATACATGAGCACACATACAACACACATGTAAAGATATAGATATACACATATAGTGAACATTATATACATATGTATAATATGTATACCATGTACAATCTGTGGATTATGTATGATATGTATACTATTAAGAACATGTGAAGCATGTATAATACTTATATTTCGTATAGTATGTAAAATTTGTAAAGCATGTAAAATATATATATATATATATATATATATATATATATATATATATATAACAATTATGTCTATTGTGTATAACAGGTATATTATGTGTAGTATGCATAATATGTATAGTTTGTATAGTATGGTTAATGTGTATAATATGTATAATATCTATACTATGTGAAATACTTGTATGTTCTTAATCTGTGTAATATGTACGATACGTAAAATATGTATAATATGTAACGTATAAAATGTACAATACGTATAATCTGTATAATGAATATATTATGCATAATACGTATAACACGTATAATATGTACAAGTGTGTATCTGTGTACATGTGCATATTATGTG